AAGCTAAATATTTAGCTTTGAACTAATTATTTAGCTTAACTGTTTAGCCGAAAGCTAAATATTTAGCTTAGAGCTAAATAGTCTAAAACTAAATATGTAGCTTGCCGGTTTGGTTGGTATCCCAACTACAGCTAAATTTCTCCAGACTCTAAAGAAAGTTTTGTTAATCATGACTTGAGCTGATTCCTGAGCTCAACGTTTGAAACGTGACGTCGTCACTCCCCAGATTTTCTTTCACCTTTTGACTTGTTTCTCCATTACAAACAAGAATCTGCTTTTAAATATCAGTAGCTACAAAAAGATCTCTATAACCCCGTAATGGGTTATAGATCCATTTAATTACACACATGTCAAATCTGTTATGTTTCATTGCTAATGATGATGCACAGTACCCTTTAAATCCTGTGTGTATTCTCCTAATCTATGGATTTGAGTTGCCTGCATTGTAGGTGGAGCAGAGGAAAATATTCTAAATAATTTGGCAAAAATCACAGAGGCTAAGAAGAAAAACAGGGAGGAAAAATCATAGAAAGCCATTATATTAAGACTGACTATAAGAAGTGGAGAGTCGAGGTGTGCTAGCTAACTCTGGTTAACTAGCTAACTCTGCTGCCGAAGCCGTCAGCCTTGTAAGAACAGCATCAGGCTGATTAGAGAGCAGTCGGGCCAGACGTCGACCTGCGGAGACGCGCCGCCGTAACCCGGGTCGGGTCCGCCTCGTCTGCACAGAAAGGGATGTTCTGCTCCGAGCCATTTAAACACGGCGCGCCTGATTTATGGCGCCTTCAGGCTGCCAGGCATTATGTTTTAAAGCCCTCACTCACACAAATTACAGAAAAAAACAGAGCTCTGAAGCCGTAAAGTTGATTTATAAGCCAAGAGATGTCTGCTGGAGATTACATACACACACACACACACACATATACATATATATGTGTCCAGCAGACATCTCTTACACACACACACACATATATATATATATATATATATATACACACACACATATATATGTATATATATGTATGTATATGTGCGTGTGTGGACATCAGTGGACATCAGCGGTTTAATAAAAATCCAACTGGAAACAAACAAAAAAGCACAAATATTAAGAGCTAAACGAGGCTGAGCATGAAAAACTGTTAGTTTGGATAGTTTGGATCTTGAGGAAACACAAGAATGTTAATGATGATGATGAGGAGGAAGAAAAGCTGTTCAGTTATAGATTCTAAATCTCACCAAAGGGATTTAGAAGAGACCGCTCCAAAAGCAGGAAGTGGACTACAGCACAGGGCATTCTGGGTAAATACAACCAAAGCTAACATGCTAGCCTAGTGCTAGCAGGAGAAATGGCTCCTGGTCTTCAGCCAAAGACTAAAGAGAAATCCTCCAACACTAAAATCTGACGCCTCCATTTTTATAAAACTTTTAAACTCAGTGTCTTCAGAGGTTTATGTGTCGTTTCCTTCAGTGGTTCTTGGTGCAGCGCCCCCACAGGCCAGGAGGGGAACAGGTGGGTATGACTCAGAGCCACAGCAGCTGGAGGTGGAGCAGATGATGAAGTTCTGGTTCCAGTAGAACCGGGCCAACTGGACCACCAGGACGGAAGAGATCCTCAGTAGTCAGATTTTAAAAGTAGTCAGAGTATCTGCACAAACTAAATTTAAATAAAATGGTACAGAAGAGGAGAAATGGTAGCAAGTGTTTAAGAACAGAGGACGAGACGGAAACTGAATGACTATAATTTTTTAAACTCTAACAGCAGAAACGTGTTGAGGCGCTCCTCTGTTTTAGAGCCGGTTGGTGGCGGATCTCTGGTACCGACTCAGGTATTGTTACAGGCGGATCAGGACTTTGTGTCTGCAGAGCTTTAGGTGTGGCTGTTTCAGGAGGAATTCAGCAACAATCTGCACCATATAATCTATATTTCTCTGTTTTCCATCGAGTTCCCCGTAGCGCGCCGCCGCTGACAGATTTCTCATTAGCGTGCCACAAACTTTCAACAGGGAGTTGAGCGACTGCGTGTCGTCCCGCAGCAAAGGGAAGCGGCTCAGGGCTCTACCTGCGGCCTGGGGGGAAATGATATTTAATCACAGCCTCACCAGGTGAGGAGAGGGGACGCAGCAGACAGCATGGCACCGCCACGAATTCCTCCGCTATCATAGCGCAGATCAAACAGCCTTTCCAGGGACAATCCCTCCATCTGAGCGCCGTGGTTCTCACAGCAAAGCATGAATGTTTTCTAAAAAGAGAAAAACTAAAACTGCTGCTTAGACGTCTCTGTGTTTTGCACTGATCTTCATTTGAAGTCGGTTGACCTTGCCCTGACCTCAGCAGACATAAAAGCTATCAGAGGGGGGCGAAAAAGGCCAAATCTCCCCAGGGAGAGAGGGAGGATGAGGAGGGGAAACTCTTAAAGGGGCAGTGCGCCATGATTTCCAGACACATAATCCCATTTTATAGCTCAGTCAAGTAATTATGTTAACTTCAGCTGTTATAGAAATGATACATACCAAATATGACTTAAAAGAAATGTTACTTCCTGATTTAAAGCCTGAAAATTGGGCCTCTGTCTCTTTAATGATGCATTTAGCTCAGGTTTAAAGGGCCAATGTTATGTTTCCACATAGCAACATTTTTTAGCACAATCAATAAAGTGTTTCAGTAAGTTGCCATAGAAACTCTTATCAAATACGACCTTTCTTCCTTGAAATTGGGCCTCCGTCTCTTTAAGAAGCTCCTGTTCTTTCTGAAGCTTCACCTCCAGGAAGTCATCCCAACATGGC